CAGTGTGTTGATCGCGTAGATTTTTGAGTTGAGTTGAATTAGGTTTGTTTTCGATTTAGATTCCAAATGTATTTTGATTTTTGTTTAGAGAGAGGCCAGCTTGATAGAGTTGATTTTTATTTTTGGAATTAATTTTTTATTATTTGTTTTTTAATCAATTTGAAAGAGGGTTGACAGTGTGTTGATCGCGTAGATTTTTGAGTTGAGTTGAATTAGGTTTGTTTTCGATTTAGATTCCAAATGTATTTTGATTTTTGTTTAGAGAGAGGCCAGCTTGATAGAGTTGATTTTTATTTTTGGAATTAATTTTTTATTATTTGTTTTTTAATCAATTTGAAAGAGGGTTGACAGTGTGTTGATCGCGTAGATTTTTGAGTTGAGTTGAATTAGGTTTGTTTTCGATTTAGATTCCAAATGTATTTTGATTTTTGTTTAGAGAGAGGCCAGCTTGATAGAGTTGATTTTTATTTTTGGAATTAATTTTTTATTATTTGTTTTTTAATCAATTTGAAAGAGAGAAATAACTTTTTCTCAAAGTACATATGGCAGAGAAAATTCCAAAAAGAAACATTCATTCCAGTCCATAATATTAAAATTCCAGAGAAAATTGAAAATGACAAAGACACAAGGGAGGAAAGTGATGTGATGTGGTCAGAGAAAATTATAAATACCAGAGAAACTTAAGACAGAGGCAAGAAAGCAATAGACATTCTAGATTAAGATAGACATTGTAATTAAAAATACATATTACAGAGAAATTTACGGAGCAGGAAAATTTATAGACAGAATTACAGAAACATGTTCAAGAATAAGATAAAAACACAAAAAATTGTTGTGAAAATAAACATGCCAGAGAAAATTGAAAGAAGAAAATTACATTAATAAAAAATCAGAGAAATTCAAATGCCAGAGAAATTTACAGATAAAATCACACAAATATGTTGAAGAATAATTTCAAAATACACAGAAATAAATTTTTTCAAATTCAGGTAGCTTTTTATTACGAAATTGAAACCCTAATTTATGAAAGGTTATTATAAAATGCTATTAACTGTGTTTCCAGAGAAAATCTAGTAGTATTGTAGAAAAACTGACCGGAGTTAGGATGAACCTTGAATGATGAGCTGATATGGCCCGCGATGAAGATGCGACGTGACGAAGATGGACTGAGATGATGATGAGCCGTGAAAACGAAGCTTTAACCTAGGTCAGAGAAATTTGTGAGGAAGGAATGGGAATGATTTTTGGAGAAGATAACGAAGCTGTAATGTCGATGGTGCAGATGATGTTGAAACCCTAATTCTGCTGTTCTCCTGTTCGTGAAGGTGCTGGATGTTTGGAATGTAACTGAGAAGTCGGAATGAGTTTGGTTCTGTGTTGATTTTGGCGAGGGTATTTTGGTCCACAAAATAATTAAAAACGCGCGCGAAGTTGTTTCAGGGACGTGAGGCATCACTATCTTTTTGTGTGTCCTTTATCCTCTAAATTGTTATTATTAAGGACCTTAAAAAAAAATCCCCTTTAAACTTTTCACCTAATTAAATTTACTTGTCTTTTTATAATAAATAAATATTAACAATGTTAATTTGAATGTTAAATTACTTTTTGGTCCTTGCGTTTTTATTTATCAAATGAAAATCAATTAAAAAAATTAATCTTCCTAAAACAATTGTTAAGAATAAATAATTTATTTATTTCATCAGTTAAATCTATCCTTTTTTATAATTTTTTTAAAACTTATTAGTATAAGAAAAATAAAATAAAATAATGGTACTCTTTGAAAAAAAGTAACATCCTTGTAATAAAATGGGGTAAAATGTTGAAATTGTGAAATGCAATTTAATTTCTTCAAGCTTTAGAATTACGCCAGTGCATTTTGTCATTTTTTTTTAATGTAAATTACACTGACCTTTTTTGGAATTTTAAAAAAATTCAAGTAATTGTACATTTTAAATATAATTACACTAACTTCTTTAAATATTAATTGACATAATAGCTAGATAGTTTTTCATCAATAATTTATTAATTATGTATCAAAAAATAAATATTGTTATATATTTTAAATTATAATTATAATTATAATTTATTTATTTTAGCGTCTATTTATAATTTGTATTAATTTTAGTGATTTCAATCATATTAAAAAAATTAATTTAATTATGTCAAAAATTATGAGATTAATTATATATTTTTTTAAATTGTGTAATTTATTATTATGTTTTTTAACGTGACGTGGCAAGATTTGATTGGTTGTACAACGTGGCAACTACGGGTAAACGCAGCACAGCATTCGTAGGTGACATTTTTGCTTAGAATAATATTAGTAATGATAGAGATGCTGATAAAACACCATCTCATAATTTCTAAAATAATTTGAACAATTTATGTTATTATCAAATGCAATTCTTAAAAAAATTTAAATACATCAATGATCAATATATCAATAGGAATCGTGGATGTCCTCTTTTATGGAGTTCCAAATATCTTCCGAATAATCCTAAAAATTTATAATTTTTATCAAATTTTTTTATTAAATATCTCACATAATGTAAGGTCTAAAAATAATTTAAACAACTTATGTTATTATCAAATATAATTTTAAAAAAAATTTAAATACATCAATGATCAATATATCAATAGGAATCGTGGAGGTCCTCTGGAGTTCCAAATATCTTCCGAATAATGCTAGAAATCTATAATTTTTATCAATTTTTTTTATTAAATATCTCACATAATGTAAGGTCTACATAAAATTTATATAATAGGAGTCTCATAAATATATATGAAACATTTAATAAAATTTTTAGAATTTTAAATATACATATTTTTTTTCTTAAGCATGAAGAAGCCAATGAAAAAGTAGTCAATTAAAACATATGTATCTTTTAATTTGATTTCTCTTCGAAGCCCCAGACGTTTCTAGAATCACCACTTGATTTTACATAAATACCCCCGGTATTCCCAGACTCACATCGTGGACGGATCGACCCGTCCAAAGCGGGTTATGCTCCGGCCAAAATTTACCCATCCAAATATTTAAATAGTTCTAAGTATAAATAATATTATAAAAAAATACTAGACACTCCTGAATGAATTATCAAATATTTACATGGGTGTGGAACTCATTTAAATTAATGTAATGTTAATTCTATATTCATGTGAGTATTGAGTAAAATATTTGATAATTTATTTAAAATTTCTAGCATTGCTCGGTATTTAAACAATCAAAATTGTTTGACATTTTGAAAAAAATATTGTTAGTTTCATACTTTTAATATAATTGCAGTAACCACTTTTTAAGTATGACTAAAGCAATTGAATCTAATGCAAATAATGGTAGACAGTCAAATAAATAAGATAAACACACATTTTAATTGAAAATAAATGAATTATTTTCCCATTTATGAGATTCACAAATTATTGCAAAAAAATTACCAAACTATTATGTGAATTAAAATTTAAAGGGTGACTAGTGTAATTGTATCAAAAGTGTGTGACTAATTGATTTTTTTTCTAAATTTCAAAAGAGGTGAATGTAATTTATTCTAAAAATAATTAACAAATTTAATTATTACACATGAAACTCATTAGGACAAAGTGACAATGATATATAATTATGAGTGATAATTTAAAATGAAATCATCATAAAGGAATTTATTATTTTATAAGAAATTCCCGTCCTAAATTTTGTTTATAATATTATCTTCTTCTTCTTTTTTTTTTTTGTGTAAAGGTGGGGAGAGAGGAGAATGAATTAAGTATTAAGTAATTTGAGAATCTACAGAAAGAATGAATTAATCATGTATAGGCTCTTATGATTATGTTTCATTTATAATTAATAAAATCAAAATATTTTAATTCATAAAGGAGTAAATATGAATTTTGTGGAGGTGTTGAATTGATATTTAAATCAACCAAGTTTATATTAAGCAATCCCATATTTAAAAATTAATTAATAATTTAAAATTTTAACTAAAAGTAAACTTATAAAATTTTGGAGTCACAATCAATGTACACTTTTGAGACAATTAGATAGGTGCTAAGAAATTTAAAAATTTGTGATCACATGATTTTAAATTTGTCAAAACTATGGGTTGTTTTGGGAAGTTGGTAAAAAGCTTGCTTTTGACTTTTTACCAAGCTTTTTAGCTTTTTGAAAAGTGATTTGGAAAGTTGGTAAAAAGTTGACTTTTTTGCTTTTTAGTTTAATATTTATTTATGGTGTCAAATCAAATTGAAATGACTAAAATACCCTTACTAAACTTTAAAATTCTTCACAATTTGTTGACTTGGAGGGTATTTACGTAATTAGCCAACCTAGCTTTTTTATCACTTGCCAAAGGCAAGAATTGCCCAAAATGCTTGCCTCAGCTTTTTTGTGCAGCAACAAAAACGCGGCGTTTTTAGCCACTTCCCAAAACGGCACTATGAATATGAAGAAGTTTGGTTTTTATTACAAAATTTTAAGGAAATTTCGTGACATCAACACACTTTCAACTTTTACTTCATATAATAGTGTATATATTAGGCTATTTGGAAAATTAAAAATACGTCACTTCTTTTTTCGATTTATTTTTTATTGTTAGTGATTTTTTTTTTTAAAAATTAGATCAATTTTTTTTCTCAATCCGTTTTATATAGATGAATCTAAACAATAATTTTTAAAAAATTAAAAAATTAATAAGCCAAAAAAATTCACTATTTTGGGTTTATTTTTATTCTTTTTGAAAATTTTAATATTCAATTTGTCTTGTCGGGTAGAATTTAAAAACTTTTTTTTTTAAATTAAAAAAAAAAAACTAAATACAAAAATAAAAAATGTAAACCCCAAAAATCAGGAATAGATACATGTATTTATCGGGTCAAGTCAAGTTTGGGGTGGGTTTTGGGGCTCAAATACTTGAGGATATTTTGGGAATTACAAATATCTGGCAACTTCGCGGAAGCTAACCAGAAACCCCTTCTCTCTCTCTCTATAATATATATCCCAAGGTCAATAGAATGTAATTCTGTGTTTTCCTCTAATTTATCTCTCATTCTCTCAAGTTTCCCTTGAAAAAGAAAACAAAGAAAGGAATCTCTCAAGAAAATGGATGCGTTCTCGTCGTTCTTCGAATCTCAATCGGCCTCTCGCAACAGCTGGACTTACGATTCTCTCAAGAACTTACGTCAGATCTCTCCGATCGTCCAAACTCATCTCAAACAGGTTTTGTTTTCTCTCTCTCTCTCCGCGTTTGGTTTGTGAGAAAATGAAGGAAAACAGAAGAGAGAACATCATTCTTGTTTAATTTTTGTTGATATGTTTGTGACAACGGAAAAAATTGCGTTGACCGAGTCAAATTTGTTGTGTTCTCGACGATTGAGTGGAACGTTAGGGTTTCGGTTCATGATCTCAGGAATTTTGATCTATTGAATTATGCTTTCTTTTCGATTCGTGCCATTTTCGAGCAACAAAGCGGGAATCGATTAATATTAGGGTTTCTGATCGATAATGTTTCGGAAATTTAAATTATGCAATTGAATTGGTTTGTCTATTGTATTGTATTGTATTGTTCCGAGATGATCTTCTTTATTGTGTCAGTTGGATTTATTTTGCCAGAATTTGAATCTGGTTCACTGGAAAACGAAGGAAACAGAGGAGGATGTGAAATTGATGACTCTCACCTTTCTATGTATGCAGTTAATGATTCTGTGAAAATTAAAAAAAAAAAAATTGCCTTTGTTAGCTAAGTGGCTGTGTCCATCTTTTTCACCTAGAGTTTTAAGTCCTGATTGAGAGATAGAATAGATGTGATTAACTTTATTCGTCTAATTTCAATATTCTTTTTATCTATATATTTACTTAAATAAGTTGTTGATTTATGCAGGTTTATCTCTCACTATGTTGTGCTCTGATTGCTTCGGCTGTTGGAGCTTATCTGCATATCCTCTGGAATATTGGAGGCCTCCTCACGACCTTAGGTTGCTTGGGAAGCATTGTTTGGCTACTCTCAACCCCTCCACATGAAGAGGTAGGCATCGCTTTCTTTTGTGTTTTTTTGCACTATTTGTTGTCATTTATTTGTTTTGCAAACGTGATTTTAATTTTTATCTTTTCTTGGTATGCAGCAAAAGAGGTTTTTGCTGTCATTTATTTGTTTTGCATACATGATTTTAATTTTTATCTTTTCTTGGTAAGCAGCAAAAGAGGGTTTCACTCTTGATGGCATCTGCACTCTTTGAAGGGGCTTCAATTGGTCCTCTGATCGAATTGGCTATTGAAATTGATCCAAGGTAAATGTTCGTTCTATCTACTCTTTTACTTCTTTAGTGGCAATTGTTTGTAATTGTGTTTCTTTCTTTTGGTTTCGTGGGTTGTGTATTTTTTTAGTATTTCATACTGTTTAGCTGTTGTTTGCATAGTTATAGCTCATGTGTCAATGAGAGTAACTTTTCTGCCTTTGTAGGCCTAAAATCTTATTTTTGTGGGTTTTTGAACTTTTAAAAATTTGTAGTGGGTTTTGTAATTTTCTGAATTTCTGTTTTTGTTATGTTGTACCCAACTTGAGAAAATAAAGAGCCAAATAAATGGGCAAATTTCTAACCAGATTGAAACAAAGGAAGCGTGAATACTAGAATTTACTGTCAAAATTAGTTTTTAAAGTCTCATTCTGGTATTTGTATTAATGAAATTGCCTATTTGTCGTGATTCGTGATCGGCCAATGGAAATATTATTCACATGAAATTTGTTGTTATTTGGTTTATAGTTGTGCAATCTGCTGTCACTAGAATGCTGACTTTTTGTCCATCTCCTTCATGACCTTGTGAGGAGGATACAGCTCTTTTTCATTTATTAGTACAATAACAGCATACCTTAAGTATCCCTTTTTTTGTTGTTTTCGGTTAAGTCAATGGATTTGTTGCATTTACATTCTTTATATTTCTATTTCCCTTGCTTTGAGACTAGTAATTTCCTTTTTTGGTTGCTTGATGGTTGTCATTTTCTGAAACACTACCTTGACACAAATCTTCTACTGTATTGTAGCATTCTGGTCAGTGCTTTTGTGGGGTGTGCTGTGGCTTTCGGTTGTTTCTCAATGGCAGCCATGTTGGCTAGGCGTAGAGAGTACCTTTACCTTGGAGGTCTTCTTTCCTCTGGGCTCTCCATCCTTTTCTGGTTGCACTTTGCCTCCTCTGTCTTTGGGGGAACTGCAGCTCTCTTCAAGTTTGAGGTATGTTTCTAGTTGCCTTGTTGCCTTTGTCCTAATTGTTAGAAATTGGTTAGTAGGGTTCTGATTTTTGCTTAATATGACTGTTGCAGTTGTATTTTGGGCTTTTGGTGTTTGTGGGCTACATCGTAGTGGATACCCAAGATATAATCGAGAAGGCACACTATGGTGATCTAGACTACGTAAAGCATGCCTTGACTCTCTTCACTGACTTTGTTGCTGTTTTTGTACGAATTCTTATAATTATGGTGAGTTAATTGATTTGCATTTGGACAACCAAAATGCTGTTAGCTATTACAAGTTTACGACGCATTTTTTGAACGAATGCAATAGTGACTTGCATATTTTTGTTGTGCAGTTGAAGAACTCCGAGAAGAGTGAGAAGAAGAAGAAGAGAAGAAATTGAATTTGACCAAGAAGCTGGGCAACAAAGGAAAGATTGTCTAACCATGGATCTGATGGATCTTTTTCAGTTGTCTATATGAACTTGGGGCTTTTTCTTAAACTGAAATGGTGTTAATATTTGGAAGTTAATGGTTGTGTAATGGGCGTTTGTTCTGGGTTGTGCTCAGTACATATAGTTGGATTTCCTGTGGTAAACATGACATGTTTTAAATTCATTTTCATCTCTAATGTGATCTCAATGCGTTGAAGTCTGATGACAAAATAAAATCCATGCTTTGAACATTTTGGATTGTTTTGGAAAGTTAGTTTTTTGGTTTTTTTTTAATTTTTTTTATTTAAAAGATATTAAAAAAATAAAGGGATGATGAAATTTAAAATAGGTTAAAAATTAAAAATTGGTTTTTGCGTTTGGTTGGAAACATACGTGCTATTGTGGCAAGAAAACTATGATACAAATTAAACGAAGTTCAAGAAATATTGGCTTCTCAGTAGTTAGTTGTTCGGCCTTCAACCTGATGGTTCGTTTGGTCCATTTAGAGTAAATTCCAAATCTAGTTATTACTTGTTATTTTAAAGTTGTAAACATTTTTTTATTAAAATTTGTCATTTAATAAAATTAAGTAAAAAATAATTTTTAAACTCTTTTATACGACAAATAGAATTATAAGATGGTAAATGATTTTTCCTCCGAATTTTTGTTCTCCAAATCGTCTGACTGCTCAAAACAACAGAGAGAAGAAGAGGAAGCGAGAGAGAAAGAGAGAGGGAAGAGGGAATGGAGACAGAGAGGGGGGGTCGTCGTCGATCGCCATCGTTGCCCGCCTCTGCCTCCGATTTTTCAGCCAATTTTTTTTTTTTTTGATCGATCATTGTGTTTTTTTTCAAATTAACCTTTTTTTTTTTTTCTTCAGATCAATGTGTTGATGATGATGATGGTGATGTTGTTGATGATGAAGATCTTCTGGATCTGAAGATGAATGGTTGATTTTTTTTTATTTTTTATCTAAATGGTTGTTAGGTGGTTCTCTCTCTCCTGTCTGGTTTTCTCTCTCTGATTTTCGTTCTCTGCTACTCTCATCTTCTTCTTCTTTTGCGTTATTGAAAAAATCAAAAAATAAAAAAAAAATCAAAACTACGAAACGACATCGTTTTGAATTCGGGGGATTTAGGGAAGGAAGGATTCGAGCTACGTAGCATGATTGTTATAAGAATTATTAATTAATTTAATGATTGATTAGGCCTTTTGTTTTACACTTAGAAATTTGAAATGAGCAAGGAGTGGACAAATATCAGGCTAACACTATTTAATAAAAAAATTTGTCTGTCCAAATGTCAGGCTGATACTACTTAATAAGAAATTTTATATATGTCCAAATTCTGTCTAGTCCTAACCGTTGATCTTTATATCTGTCCAAGCCCGGATTAAAAAATAGTTATAAATTTTAAACTCACCCATTGAATTATATGTTAAAAAAAATTAAAGCATTTTATAATTAAATTCAATTAGACATTATGTTTCTTAAATAAATATATTTACATCATTATAAATTGAAATATTTTGTATATAAATTGAAGAATTTTTTAAATAAATTCAATCATGCATCACCACAAATATGAGTTTTAATAAAATCAACAAAGATAAAGTGTAGATTCCAAATATATATATATATATATATATATATTAATGTATTATAACTAAATAATTAATTAATTAGCGGGCCAGGCAGAATTGAAAGTATAAATCTCAAGCATAGTCTATTAATATTTCGGGTTAAAAATGTTAGTTCACCCCGATCCTATGGGTTAGAACAACCTTTCCAAATACTAGAAAAATAGGGCTGGGCGGATCAACCGAAAAATATAATTTTTAGAAGAAGGTAAATGATTTTTCCTCCGAATTTTTTTTCTCTTAATCTTCTTATTGCTCAAAACAACGCAGAGAGAAGAAGAGGAAGCGAGAGAGAAAGAGAGAGGGAAGAGGGAATGGAGACAGAGAGAGTGGGTCGCCATCGTTGCCCGCCTCTGCCTCCGATTTTTCAGCCAATTTTTTTTTTTTTTTTTTTTTCTTTATTGTGTTTTTTTTTAAATTAAACCTTTTTTTTTTTTTTTAATTCATTAACCATTTTTTTTTTCTTCAGATCAATGTGTTGATGATGGTGATGTTGTTGTTGATGATGAAGATGTTCTGGATCTGAAGATGAATGGTTGATTTTTTTTATTTTTTATTTTTTTATCTAAATGGTTGTTGGGTGGTTCTCTCTCTGTCTGTCTGGTTTTCTCTCTATGCTACTCTCATCTTCTTCTTCTTTTGCGTTATTGAAAAAATCAAAAAATAAAAAAAAATCAAAACTACGAAACGACATCGTTTTGAATTCGGGGGATTTAGGAAAGGAAGGATTCGAGCTACGTAGCATGATTGTTATAAGAATTATTAATTAATTTAATGATTGATTAGGCCTTTTGTTTTACACTTAGAAATTTGAAATGAGCAAGGAGTGGACAAATATCAGGCTAACACTATTTAATAAAAAAATTTGTCTGTCCAAATGTCAGGCTGATACTACTTAATAAGAAATTTTATATATGTCCAAATTCTGTCTAGTCCTAACCGTTGATCTTTATATCTGTCCAAGCCCGGATTAAAAAATAGTTATAAATTTTAAACTCACCCATTGAATTATATGTTAAAAAAAATTAAAGCATTTTATAATTAAATTCAATTAGACATTATGTTTCTTAAATAAATATATTTACATCATTATAAATTGAAATATTTTGTATATAAATTGAAGGATTTTTTAAATAAATTCAATCACGCATCACCACAAATGTGAGTTTTAACAAAATCAACAAAGATAAAGTGTAGATTCCAAATATATATATATATATATATATATTAATGTATTATAACTAAATAATTAATTAATTAGCGGGCCAGGCAGAATTGAAAGTATAAATCTCAAGCATAGTCTATTAATATTTCGGGTTAAAAATGTTAGTTCACCCCGATCCTATGGGTTAGAACAACCTTTCCAAATACTAGAAAAATAGGGCTGGGCGGATCAACCGAAAAATATAATTTTTAGAATCATGAAAGACAATTAGAAAATTTCAGGTGGTGTATTTTGTTTGGAAAGTGGGTTAGTTTTTTAGTTTTTTTGGTTATTTTAGCCTGGGGCTAAAAAGCCTGGTTTGGGAAGAACTTTAGGTTTTTTTGGCTTTTTGGGTTTTTTTGTGAGAAAAAGAATGTAATGATTATGTATTGAATGTGATATTTTGTCTTATTGGGTTAAAAAACTTATTTTATTTTTTGTGGTTAAAATAGCCAAAAAAAGCTCCAACTTTTGCCCATTTAGGGTTGATTTGGAAAGTGGCTTTTTAATTTTTTAATTTGATTAAAATATGAGGGGGAAAAAATTAACAAAAATGTTAGAGATGTCAAAAGTATTACCAAATGTCTCACATGGGTATGGGACCCATATAGAACCCACATGTTATGGATCTCGCATTCATGTGAGACATTTGATTGAAAATTTTAAATCTCTAACATTACTCAAAAATTTAAATGTTACTTTTATAAAAAAAAATGAAAAAAACATTTGATTTTTTTACATAATTTTTTTTAATTAAAATCATAATCGCAATGCATAACATGAAATGCTGGCAGATTTTCTCATCGTAGGCTTGGACAATCTCCAACAAGATCGAGGTAGGTGACAACAAATCCATCAAACTACGACCCATCTAAGGTTGTGGGTGAGTAAGGGGGCGGTGGAGGTTTCAAACGGGAAGTGGGGTTAGTGAGGCGGCCGTCATAGGGAAGAAAAGGAGGGATGTTATCATGATTTAACATCTACATTTTAGGACAAACTGCAATATAAGCCATGATGTGTTGCAATTCTTTGGCGTGGATATTTGATCATCCGGCCATATTGGAGAGAATTCATTTTTTTAATGGAATTTTAGTGTTTGGAACAAGATTTACTAAAATAATATGTGATAGACTTGAAAATTTTAAGAAACTCAAGTCATAAATTTAATTTTAAAAATTTGATGTAATATCTTCAAATTTTAAGTTTTTAGAATCATAAGAATGATCACAAATAGGACTTAACCTAATAATACATGATAGAGTTGAATATTATACGGGACTTTAATAATAAATTTAATTTAAAAATTTTGAGGTAATAGTATTTTGTAGGGTGGGGTATAGGGTTATCTGAACCGCATAACTCGTCCAACCCGAACCGATCAGCATATAAATGAGCAGTTTCACAAACACAATGCAGGCGGATACGGTTTGGGTTTGGAATATAATATTATTGCTGGTTACGGGTTTTATCTGCACCTACAAAAACCTACCTGCATTTAGACTTTTTTTAAATAATAATAAAAAAAAACTAAACCGTTGATTTCATTCATCATATCCTATATATTTTTGCCCAATAAACCAAACCTTCATGATGGAGTTTGCAAGTTTGCAAATGTTTTTATTTTATTTAATGGGTTTGAATTGGACGAAATTTAATAACAATTTATTATTATTTTATTATTACATTTTGGATAAATGTAAAACTTAATAAAGAATTACTTTTAGGTAAGTTTAGGATTTTGAATAATTTTACTTTAATTGTATTATTGGATAGTGAATTATTTTGATGATTTAGTTTAAGATTTTGAAAGATGTGCTTGTGTTAGTTTATGATTTTATTGAAAAATTTAGGATTTTGAATGATTTGCTTGTGTTAGGAATTGATTTTGTTGTGTTTTTAATTTTATAAATTTAATTTATTAATTATTAACGTTGAGCATTTTAAAAAATGGGAGGGAAAGAGAAGAAAGAGTCCAAAATAAATATTTACAAAACGGGACAAAAAATGGTCCCAAAATAAATTTTTAAATAAAAAAGTCCAATCCGCAAATTGCTTGCATATCCGCGAATCCTATCCGCATAAATCGCAACCTGCACTGCAGGCGGTCGTGGGTTATAGCAATCCCGATTTTAACCCGACCTTTGTTGTATTTCGAACTCGAGTTTCGTGGCTTAGTATTGCATCCATGTCTTGTTTTCCTCCTTTAATTCTTTAAATTTGAGTTTTGAGATATGTTGGGCATGTTTGGAACAGGTTGGTTGCTAGTTGGTCTAGATTGTTGCTGCCTAGGATTTGGCTTATTCGCTCGAGCGAGACTTCTTGCACTTGAGCGAGCCTTGTGTAATTTGTTTCTTTGTTCGAGGGAGGTTTCTTGCGCTCAAGCGAGTTTTGAGGGTTCTTAGGTTTCCTTCCCAAACGCAGCATTTCTGGAAAGATGAAGTTCTTCGCTCGAGCGAGGCTTCTTGCACTCGACCAAAGGTGTGCGTCTGTGAAATACCTGAAAGTATGCATTCTACGCTCGAGCGACACTTCTTGCGCTCGAGCGAGGTCATTTGTTGTGTCTGGTTGCTAGAGCGACCACTCCTTCGCTCGAGCGAAGATCGCGTATATCAGTTCGCATCAGAGCATTTTTGTATCTTTTTTCACTCAAAACCCTAATACGACATTCTCTCTCTCGAAAGTTTTCTCTCTCTATCTCTCTACAAATACTTCAAGATCCAAGCACCTCTCAACTCTAGTCCCTTTGTTAAAGAGTTAGAGCATCTTGTGGGCTTTCTCTTAATCCGAACAAAATTGAATTTGGAGCATTTTTTAAGTTCTTCATCATCTCCTTTGAGCTTCTACACTTGAGATAGGGATATTCTACACCTTGTTATTATTTTTAACCTAGGTATTTGTTGTTATATATAAATGGTGGGATTTAGGAAGGTTTTGGTGAAGTTAGGGTTTGGATCCAAAATTGAAAGATGGGTTTTTATATTGGGCTCCATGAACATATATATGGGGTATTGAATGTGAGGTTATATGGGTTGAAATGATGAAATTTGAACTTGAGGTTAATATTTGAAAAATGGAAAAAATTGCCCTAATTTGTGCTCAATAATTATGTTGTATAAATATTGAAATTGATATGGGAAATATGCAATTGGGAGGTTATATGAATGAATGGTGTAGTTGGATTTGATAAATCACTCACCTATGAAAAATTTGATAAATTATCTATTTAGAAATATCTGTTTTGAACTATCGGTGGAGGATAGCTATGATTGTTGTAGAAACTGCATATGGATTAGGTGAATTAAAACCTATCTTTTAATTTACCTCATTGAATATGATGGTATGATCATGACATTGAAAATGTGTCGTGGATAGTTCTTGTATATGACGATACTTTTAATACATTGTATATGTATCTTTCTTTGGGAGGAGATAGGGAATGTACTCCATTGTTTAGGAGGAGATAGGGGATGGACTCTATTTAAAAATTAAGTTGGCCGGAGTGTCTAGGGTGAAAGTCTCGAAATCTTATAATTATGGATGCCGATTCCCTTCGATGTGAATTCCATAAAATGGCATGTTGAAGTGTTTAAAATAATAGATGTTGTTAAAGTGTAAACCAATGGATTGTAATTTCATATGGTGTGTGTATATGACAATGAACTTGACTCATAAATTGAATTAAAATGGATGGATGAAAATAGATTGAGATGTGAGAATCTACGTTGAATGGTCTTGGAAAGAATATAAGTTGGTCATGAACATTGAATGAAATTATACTTGACATTTATATCTTAGTTAAATCTCATATATTGTGTTAATTTATCTCTTCTGGGCTTCGGCTAACCCTACTTGGAAAACCATTTTCTGGTACAGGTGACATGCCTCCTCCAAGGACGTAGCTAGGGAGGACTAGGGACTAAAGGCTTTATTTTTGTTATGATAGGTTTAAATGTTTATTCAAGTCGAGGGTTTTATATGTATAGAGCTTAGAACTCTTCCTTTTTGTTGTAACCAAATGATGACTTGGAAAGATGTAAGCTTGTAGGACATTTATTTTGTTGTTGTTAATCTATTATTACATGTTATAGATTCAGGATGAACATTTATGAATGTATAATGCATGTAATACCCCTTTTGTAATGTAACTCTGATGAATGATAATATAAAATTTTCTATTATGTTTATGAATCTCATGGGTTAGATTATCCTCTTTATTTTGAAGGCGTTACAGGTTCAATTTGTCCCAAATCACACATATACAAGCAGATTCAAATCACAAATCGAAGCGTCCAAAACCAAATAACGAGCATTCCTAGTATTTTGAAAGATCATATTACTTTTACTTATTTGTTATCTATCTACTATTGCTTCTATCTGTCTGATATCACCTATATATCAAAGCATATATTTATACATTTACTTGTCCAATATCACTTATTTATCTCTTAATATACCTATATATGCATGTCACCACTAATAGTAGTCACTGCCGGTTAGGGATGTAAATCTGGCTCGACCCATGTTGGGCCTCGCGGGCTCCCGCCAAAATTCAGGCCTGGCCGAGCCAGCCCATGGGGTAAAAAATTAAGCCCAGGCCCAGGTCCAAGCCTAGAGCCGGCCTAACCCTTTTTTTTTTGTTTTTTAAATTTTTTTTTACCAAAATTTTATTACTTTCTATTAAAAAATACACTGGGTCTTGGACGGGTCGAGCGGGCTAGGCTTGGGGCTGGGCCCTAAGTGGGCCTTAAGCGGGCCGATGGGCTAGGCCAAATGAGCTGGGCCTATGGGCCGAACTGGGCTTCAAAACAATGGCCCAGACCCTACTCCAGGGGTTCCCGCCTAAACGGGCCCAGCCCATCTCGGGAAACGGGCAGGCTTTGGGCCATCCACGGGCCGAGAGCCATTTTTATACCCCTACCGCCAGTTGTTAATGTTAGCTACCTCCAATGATTTTTTCAACGGCCATCCACGGGCCGAGAGCCATTTTTATACCCCTACCGCCAGTTGTTAATGTTAGCTACCTCCAATGATTTTTTCAACCAATTTTTTTAAGACTTTTCCTTTGCCTGGTAATTAGATATGTGTTCAGATGGGGTGGGTAAAAATAAAAGAAATTAGTATTTAAAATTATAATTTATTTTTTTTATCAAACAATTTTATCTATCATGTCTTTACCATTAAAATTTTAGTTAGTACACAGATTATATTAGGTTATCACCGACTCTTACATAAATCTTTCATCAAATTTAAATTTGATAAAAAAAATCTTTAAAGGTGAGCTCTAACCTTATCATCAAAGTGATATCAAATGCAGGGAAAAACAAATATTTCATCAAATGGAGAGAGGTTTGATCTTTCATCAAATTTAAATCGTTATTATTGAGCCAAACATGCTCCCGAATGTCCAACTTTGATAATTTTTTTTTGTTCATACCTAGATAATTTTCAGAATATTTGGCCGAATGTCCTTTCAAATAATCAAAGATATAAAAAAATCTCATAAAAATTCTAATTGAACGTTATAATAAACAGTATCAAATCAAACATTTTATCAAAATTTTAATCAAATTTAATAATTTTTTTTATTCAACATTGGAGAGGCTCTACTAGTTGGATTTGCAAATTTTTTTAATTTAAAAAGAAAGGAAGAAAGAAAGAGAGAAACAGCGACCCGACCCGGGCGTATTAGTCAGTACCCAAGAGTGGATTTGCCGGCGAAAGAGCTTCAAGATTACAGTCGAAGACCCTTCAAATGCGTTGTTGTCTTGTGTTCATCCCCGTCGATTGAGAAATTGATAGATTTTGATTGATTTGGGTACTTTTACACAATGAATAAGCTACTGGAGTTTGGAAGGAAAGCAATGTTCTACGTTAGGGTTCTATCTGGGTACGAGGAGCGCAGAATCCGATCTTACAGATTACAGCTTCAAAAGCGCCTCCAACAGGTCTCTCTCTCTCTCTCTCTCCCTCTCGGGGTATCTTGAATTGGGTTTTCAATTACAACCCAATTGAAACAAAGGGTCTCTTGGTTTTTTACACTTTTTATGTTTTGGGTTTAAATTTAAAGATTTCAATTGAAATTTGAAGTTATTGAAACATTAATTTAAGGGGTATTGTAAATCAGTGGAAGAAAAGTATAGACCCCCATGTTTTTGCCATTACTTTCATTTCTTACCACTGATTTGCAATTCCCCCATAATTTAATTCTCGACTGTTTGTTAATGTTTTGATTGTTAAGACTTTGACTGCAGTTTATGCCATAGAGTTTTTAGTGTTTGAACAATTTGAGAATTACAGTGTTTATGAAGTTATGTGGGTGAATAGGTAGTAAGTAGTCGCGAAAACGACCTCTAGACGTTTGGAAATTGGCTATTTTAGTTGAAAAGATGCGGAGAAAAGTAGAGAGTTTATTTTTAGTGGTGACTTTTTATCTTTTTAGGCCACTCCCCAAACAACCTAGTGATTGTTTGAGTTGAGATTGTCAAGGTATCAGTAGTTCACATAAAGATTGTCAAAACCAGATGCCTTATAATCACTTAAACACAGGACCATCATAGTAAAGGAGCAACTACTCTACCAACTGAACTAATTTAGTTATCTATCTATCTTTTTTTTTATATGTGCATAGTTTCATGTTAAAAGTTTGAATGAACAATAAATTATTAAAAGACAAAATTCAAAATTTAAGAATGCAACATACTGCACTCACTGAACTTCCATATTCATGTACTTGAAATTTCATGTAAAAAGTTTGAATGAAGTTCAAACCAAACAGCTACTTTTGAATCATTATCTTCCATCTGGTTTCTACACCTGTGGGTTCCTCTTCATGGACTCATGTGAGGTATGCTTTTCATTTAAAAATGGAAAAAAACTATTCTTCCATAAAATTCATACAAAATCTTCCACTAGAAGTGGCGTTGACATTTTTGTAGTTACAACAGTCATCCTGGTTGATTCTTTGTTTTGAAGTGATAGACCCACAATTCAGTCACATCATTCTGTGGCAGTTTTTTTTTTTTTTTTGTTGGTGGTTCTTTCACTTTCTGTTTGTATAGCTGTACACTTTAAAAGAATATCAAAATTTCATTTCACACGCCTGCTTATGCTGCAATACAAATTCCATTCACTGTGGCTTATTTTGTTCTCATTTCTCATGAATACACCAATTTGCAGAATTTCTCTCTCTCCAACTTATGGCTTCCCCTAACCGCTTTTGCAATCTCATGAACTGTCTGTTGTAGATTTTATTGTTAAAATGTCATTTGCTTCTTGAACAATGTGATGTACTAATATGCAAATGACAGATGCTGTACAAGTTTTTAGATGTGTGTGATGTTGACAATCATCTGATAGGCTGATTGCTTACTGAAGGAATTATCCAATGCACTTGATTTAGTCAAATTTATGTCATTTTGCTCATGTCTGTTTTTTTTCCTGTTTTTTTTTTTTTTTTTTTTTGTTCCTCCTGGTTTTGTATTTCAATTCTTTTGGAACTCCTGAGATTTTTATTTTTTCCTTTAGGATTTTTTCTTAATGTGTTCTCTCTCTCTTTCTCTCTAGGCAGAAGAAAGGAAGGCGGCCATAAAAAGGATCCCTGAACAGATTATTTTATCAGAGGTTCGCCGTATGGTTGAGGAGATGCAAGCATTAAATAGGAAGCTGGAAGAAACGGTGAGTTTGCTTTCCGTTTAATTTCTCTACATATTAGTATTCAACCCCTGGTATTGAGAGTGAAGCATATGACTACCTACTTTAACTTGCCTGAGCTTGATATCTGTATTTATTTATTTATTTTTTTGAATTTCTGGGTGAAAAAAAATGGTTGCCTTGCATTTTAATTGTGGATGAAAATGTTGGGGGAGCTTCAATCTGGCTAGAATAGTGGTGGCCTGGCTCAGGGTGAGAAATACGCAGTTGCAATATATGCCACAATACTAAGGGATAGTGGTTGGCTAATCAGTGGTCTATTCCTCAGGGTTGTGGTGAAGATTTGGAACATGATTCTAGAATTTGATGGTGTGTCATGAAGTGACATGAATCTTGTTGGAAATTAGGTACTACTTAGTTATTATTATAAAATCCTCTACTTTTAAGAGTAAAGTTTGTAGAGGATCCACTCATATTCTGTCATATGAAAGAGGTCTGTTTAGGATGCCCATCTTCAATGTTGTGACGCATGGCAAGCTCCCAGACCAAATCCAATTTTCACCCTTCATAAAATTTTGGTTTAATTTGTTCTAATGCTATTATGTTTGTAATTGTCGTTTTCTAGGAATCTGGTGACACATTTTCTTGCTTTTAATAGTTTGTCGGTTTCTAGTATCCAAATTTGAGTCCTTATTAGCAACTTTGCCTGTTAGGATTTTGTTTAGAAGGTTAATTTTTGTTTGGGTAATATGAAGCCCATAGAAGAAACATGAATAATGGCTTTGGACTAATAAATGTGATCAGGGGGAGCATTCTTTTCTTCTTCTTCTTCTTTTTTTTATTTTATTTATTTTTATTTATTTATTTATTTTTTATGGAATTGTTGATGACTTAGTGGAGTGTAGGGTTTGATCCAAATTTAAGATGATGGTTTCTTTTTCTCCATTTTTGTTTGTCGAATTACCATTTCAAGGCATTTGGTGTAAATTAATCACTGGTTGTTCGCTTGTCATATCCTTCTTGCTTGATTTTGAATAAAGCAGATGACTTTTTGATTTTAGATTTTGTCAACTGGAAGATTTGGACCTCTCTCCACGAATATCCTAGAATGGTCTTTGACTTGAATGGATATCTTGCTTAACCATTTGTAGTGATTGTTGATGTAAAAAACTTTCTAAGATGGAGAAACTCTTGGACACTACTTTCTTGTCAGAGACCAGTTTATGTGTTGCTCTTGTTAGCAATTATGAAAGAGGGCATTGTGCTAGGGATTCATATCACCTAACTACAATCAGTGAAACGTGAAACACAGAAACAAACGAACACACAAGAAAGATAATCACATATACACATGAAGAATTCAAGATTTCCGTGGTTCATCCCAAACTAGGGCTATATCCATGGTTGCTGCTGTTTTCACTATAATTTGAAAAGTTACATGATACAAAGATAGTTGTCTCCTCCTCAACAATAAATGAATAGAAATAAAGGCAACAGGTCACTAGTGTGGAAATTCCAAAATACCAATACTCCAAATATGGGTCGGGAGCACGCCCCCCCGAACCACCTCCTTCGGTCGAGTGGTTAACGTCCAATACTTATTAGGATCCATAATACCTCAAGATGTTGCAGAATCTGAACCCTTGACCTCTCTCCATAAGGAGTTAAAATGCTTTGATTGATGCTTGGCTTTGTCAATTCAAACCTGTTATCACAGTTTCAAATTCGAACTCATCTTTATCTTCAAGGGCATGCTTCCAATAGAATATCCGTTGTATTGGTTTTGTTGATATCTTTTGTTTTTCGTTGCGGTAGTTTCTCTTGGTTTTGAATGTTTGAATAAATGGTGTGCTTGTTCCCAGGAGGTGGCTATTGAAGAGTATTTCAAGCCAATTGACAAGGAAGCTGAGATCATAATGAAAACGCAGCTTGAAGGAGAGGAGAAGACAGTGAGGGAGATGATGAAAGCAATGCAAACACAAGCTTTGCTCGAGCAAGCTGAAGCAGAAAGACTTGCAAATGTGAAAAAAACAGAGGCAAACCAACAGGAAAAAGCATCCGCGTCGACTACCCAAGCCGAAGTGAGATGATAACCTGTAAACGTTAATACATGACAGAAAAAGATTCAGAATTTATATGTAATGGTTAGTCCCTCTCTTCTTCTTCTTCTTCCCCCCATATTTTTGTTTTGTTTTGTTTTTGTTTTATGGGTGGATCTTCTTTTGGGATGCTTGTGGAAATTTGATAAGATTTTGGCAATGCCAAGGACAGAGATCCCACCTTGGCTAATTTGAATAACATGGGAAAAATTTAATGTCATATATCATGTTCATCGTAATTACATAATTTTATTGTATTTGTGTTAAAAAAATATTAATAATAAAATAGACGATAAGATCCTGTTACTTGAATAGTTATTAATAATCTTGACTTGTTATTAATGTTTTTGAAGAACCAATTTTGTTAGTTGGTGTATAAAATAATTCCATTACTTAAAAAATACTTGTTTTTTGAGTACCATAAACTTTTGAGAAAGTCATTTTAATATTAATTATTAGAACAGGAAAATACACTAACAATTATACTTATTATATTCAAATTATTACTACTATTAATTTATTAGTGATAAATTATGGGATTAGGAGCTTCTATATAATGTAAGATTCTTATGATTGATATTCTTTTGTGATAAAAGTTCATTCATTGCCTTGAAACATAGTTGAGCGACCTTTTCATCATCAACTTAATAATTAATAGTTCTATTAATTAATAAATTTATTCTCCAATAACTAAATAATTTTACTTCCGAAATTATTAAATATTAGCGGGCCTACTATATATTGAACTGGGGCCTTTCAGCCCAGCCCAGCCCAGCCCAGCTTATTCTTTTTATCCATAAGGTCATGGCCTACTCTTTTTCATCCAGCTTATTGAACTAGGTCATGGCCTACTCGAGGCACGGATGAGGTCAACTCTCTCTGTTTGTTTCGGTGGAAATTATTTTTTGTATGAATGAAAAATATTTCTTGTGACCAATGGAAAAAAGGGTTATTTAGGTGAAAAATATTCTTCACTTTCGAATATTTTCAAATTAAAGACGTCACTATACTATTACGCCGCCGCCACGGCCACCAACATCGTTGCTGCCATCACTTCTCATGTGGGTGTGAGATTCACACAATACAATGTGAGTCCAACACTCATGTGAGACATTTGGTAAAACTTTTGATAGAATTTTTGAAATCTCTAATATTTTTGTTGATGAATGTGTGGATCACATTTAGAATGATGTGATTCATTTATTCGGCAAGTCACATACCAAAATATTATGAAAACAAATTTTTTAACTCAAACATAATCATCGTAACATTATTAAATCATTTTGGAACATAGTTGTTAGGTCTCCATTACGTCTATCCCACACAGTTTTGAAAGGCAAATTCACTAAGCAACTTGTACATGTCCATACAATCTCTCTCTCTCTCTCTCTCTCAATGTGGAAACGCAAATTCAGTAAGCAACTTGTACACATGTCTACTACTTGCTTTCTAAATATAACACAAATTCTCCCCAATTGTCAATCCTTCAAGCTGATCCATTCAAGAGAAACATGTATATATAGCCAACCCTTATCTGTTCCACCTATTTTCTATTCATATCTAAAGGAGGACTCTTCTTATTGTGATCTGTCATAACTAAACTTGCTCTTGTCATGCCTGCCTTACTTTCCATTCCTACTTTACCTAAATGATAGAACAATTCCTAACCCACTTTTATTTTTTATTTTTTTTTATTTTTTTATTTTTTTAAGCCAATCAAATTGAAACACTATCGTCCGTTCTACTAGTGTTCGTTTGATAACTTAGTGAGATGTGAGAACTCTTAAACTGTTAAATTCTCATTTTTATCAAATCAAGAATATGCATTTAACTTGATTGCTATCTCAATATATAAGATTCACCAATAATTGGGCAAAAAAACTCAATCTAGTAGATTTGACATGCAATAATAAAGTTTTGGTATTATAAATGAGAGAGATTAATAAGAACAACTCGAATTGTCACGTCTATGTGTAAAAATAATTTGTGAGATTAGTATATAATATCCTTACTCAAAAGTAGAGCGACCCAAGTATTTTATGGCATTATCAATATTTTTCACCTCATTTTCTCATAATGTCCAATAACAACTTGACACACACATGAAGAGTAATTAAGTAAAAATTGTGAAATATAGGGTCAATTTGGTGAAAATTGATAAATAAAAAATAAAAATTGAAAACATTTATCTCCAATAATCAATTTGTTTCGGCTTATTTAAGTTAGGTTTTATTTCCATAAATTATATTACAAATAGAGATTGCACAAAACACTAACATAATTTTTTTAAATAACAATAGATAAAAAAGGTTTAAACAATATAGTCATTTGCATTTATAGTTTTTCTATAGGATGTCCAAAGTATGCGTTGTTATTAGATGAGTAACATGTTAATTTTAAAGCTGAATAGATAGTGGTGATAAAGGAGTGGAACAATTAAGTATAAAATTTTTAATGAGTTTTAAAAATTTGTTTAAGTTTGATTCATTAAATTTTTAAGTCGATCTCAAAAGAGTTTTTGTTAAGCCGTGCTCGAGTAATTATTTGATATTTTTATGTAGTTTTCAACTTTATTGAATTGAACTGAACGAATAATTGACTGTTTAATTTTAGTTTGAAAACTTTAATGAATTCCAATATGTGTTCAAGATTAACTTGTTTATGAATAGAGTTTGAACGAATTTTTAATAAATCGAACACAAGTCAAGTTCAAATTATTTAATGCGTTTATCACTCCCTATACATAGGTTTGTTTTTTTTGTTTTTTTTCAATTCAATCCTAGCGTATACTTTGGTTCTACAAAAAAACATGTGTATCATCAATTGCAATCATGATAAGAGCCCACCATCTCTTTCGGCAGTGTTTGGGGGGCATGTAATCTCTTTTTCAATCTCACATGTTTTATTTAACCAAAGACTTTATGGCTTTATGTCACCTGGCTCAGTCAGTCACCCCCCATTTAGGTTAGGCCTAATGGGTTGGTTAGATTACTACTATTGGCTCTTATCAGTTTTAACCTTATTCAGACTTGCAGGCACTATTTAGATTAATTAATTTGATATAATTTAATTTAATTTTTCTATAAAGCTCGTGATTAATTTGATATGACAAACATTTCTTTAATTAATACGATTAATACAATTGAAAACTAAGCATCAAAGTGGAATTGTGTAGTGGAGGAATGAGTGTAAATTTTTTTTGAATGAGTTATGCATTTTACTCTTATATTTTATATCGTTTGCTGAATGTTTACTGTATTGGTGAAAAAAGTGTACAGGCACGTGGCCTCCTTTTATCGTATGTATTGCCATAAATAAAATAAAATGAATAAGATGCTTCCTTTTCCACCCATAATCCACGCAAGTGTCAATTGTGTAATTTTCGTTAATCAATTAAACAATAATCAATGAAAGATTCACATTTGACCTAAAATATAAAGAAGGACGAATTGTGCTAATGGTCTCTACAATTTGAGTCTTGTGTCATTTTTGTCCTTAACTTTTTAATTGTGATATATTTGATTCTGAATTTTAAATCTTGCTCTAAATAAAGATAATTGGAGATATTATTGTTTAATTTCAAGGATTAAGTCGTCAATGTGATAAGATATAAATTAATTTGACAAAAATAAATGTCAAAAAAATATTTTTTGAATTTTTAAAAATTATTTCTACCTACTAAAGATAAAATTATGTAAAATTGACGAATCTTTTAGATATTTATTTATTTATTTTACCAAATTAATTTTTACTATATGTTTAGATGATAATCATGTAATGGGTGGTTATTTTTATTTTTATTAAATTAGTTTTTATTTTTTCAAAAGTCAAATATAGCGACAAATTTGATATTATTATTAAACCAATCCATTAAATCAAAATATCTAAAACTAAAAATATTTCATATATTAAATATATCGATTACGCATTAAAAGCTTAACAACTACACATTACATGATTATTATCCAAACACATAATAAAAATTAATTTGATAAAAAAAAAATAAACGTTTAAAAGATTTATCAATTTTACATAATTTTATCGTTGGTTGGTGGGTAGAAATTATTTTTAAAAATTCAAAAATATTTGTTTGATTAAGATGCTTCCTTTTCCACCCATAATCCACGCAAGTGTCAATTGTGTAATTTTCGTTAATCAATTAAACAATAATCAATGAAAGATTCTCATTTGACCTAAAATATAAAGAAGGACGAATTGTGCTAATGGTCTCTACAACTTGAGTCTTGTGTTATTTTTGTCTTTAACTTTTTAATTGTGATATGTTTGACTCTGAATTTTAAATCTTGCTCTAAATAAAGACAATTGGAGATATTATTGTTTAATTTCAAGGATTAAGTCGTCAATGTGATAAGATATAAATTAATTTGACAAAAATAAATGTCAAACAAATATTTTTTGAATTTTTAAAAATTATTTCTACCTACTAAAGATAAAATTATGTAAAATTGACGAATCTTTAGATATTTATTTATTTATTTTACCAAATTAATTTTTGCTATATGTTTAGATGATAATCATGTAATGGGTGGTTATTTTTATTTTTATTAAATTAGTTTTTATTTTTTCAAAAGTCAAATATAGCGACAAATTTGATATTATTATTAAACCAATCTATTAAATTAAAATATCTAAAACTAAAAATATTTCATATATTAAATATATCGATTACGCATTAAAAGCTTAACAACTACACATTACATGATTATCATCCAAACACATAATAAAAATTAATTTGATAAAAAAAAAATAAACGTTTAAAAGATTTATCAATTTTACATAATTTTATGGTTGGTTGGTGGGTAGAAATTATTTTTCAAAATTCAAAAATATTTGTTTGACATTTATTTTTGTCAAATTAGTTTATATTTTATTAAATTGATGATTTTGTCCTTCAAATTGAG